AACAAATAACCCAGATGTAAAAACACTACAGCTGTTGCAGGTTGCTACTTCTCAGAGCACTCCCAATTCATTAGTTGCCACAAAGAGAAGGCTCACCCAGCACTTTGACTTTTACGACTGTAGGTTTGCAGGATAACACTGTCAGCTGCTAAGAAAAGATCCCACAGACATTGACCACATGGAGACTTAGAGCTTGTCTGTATAATTCCAAATAAATGTTGAGGTGTAGCAGCTATTATTCTTTATACCACTAAAACTTAGTAATACAATTGATTCCGAGAGACTTGAAAACCCCAGTCTTATGCAAAATAACACTTGGGAAAAAAGGATGAGGTAGGGAACAAGGCCTTTTTATTTATTTTTGTATATTAATCAGGAGGTCTCTGAAACTCACAGGCACTGAAGAAATAGCTTGTTTGAGAAAATTGAAACATGTCTCCTCAGTAAGCTCCCACTCCATAGGAAAGCTTCATGTTCTCTGAAGGGGCTAGAAGTTCTTGCCAAGAAGGTATTTGGACTCTAATTTTTTAAATTAATGCTCTAGGATATTCACACAAAGACACAGATACCGACTACTGTGTAGAATGTATTTTTAATTGGAAGAGGCCATGCCAGCTGAGCTATAAAACAAGTACAAGCTGTTAGATATAATAACAGAGAAAAAAGACTAGGGGAAAAAAGTGAGTCATGAAAAAAAAAAATTAAAAAGAGAAAAAACTTAGTTAAAAGAGGCTTCCCAGGACTCCTCAGCTAAAGTAATGGTAGAAAAAGATGAAACTTATCATGACCATCACGAATGCTGTTCTGGGATGCAGGGATCTTGATACCATGGAAATGGCACTTGTATTCAGGATTATCTTACATGATTCACATATAAATGAAGATGGTTCAGATTTTAGAGCAGTAACTCCACACATCAAAAACTGCAAGTGTTCTTTACAGTGCACGTACATGCACTGTATAGGGCACTGTGGTATAGAGATGCAAAAAATTTAAAAGGAATTTAATTTTCCTCTTTCATTCAGAAATGAGTGATGTAAGCTGTAGCTCCTGATCCACAGACAGATGCCACTGACTTCGGTGTCTGACAGATGTCGCTTTGCTAATGCTGACTTGAGGCAAATATAGCCAATATGTTTTCTGTAAAATTAAATCCCTTTATTTGCTTCTGTAAATAATTTTCTGTAAAATAAGTATCAGGGGTACTAATTTTGCTGTTTGTTTTTTATTTTATTATTCTTGACTCTGAGAAACATGACTGCCTGCTCTTAAGTGGAAGCATAATCCTGGCAAGAGTGTTGAGGAGCCAAAATGATGCACTTTGTTAGTGCAGATGTGCAGAAGCTTAGGGATGGCAGTGACACCAATGGCACAAAGCTACCCATGGGGTATTTTGCTGCTGCTGCAATGCAGAGCTCTAGTTCAGGTACCCTCTACCTCAGGCGAGACAGTTTCTATATATGAGAGGTAGGTGCCTAGAAGAGGGTATTAAGCATACTACATAGTCTGTTGAGCCTCTTCCTCAAAGATCCCTTTAGACATCCTCTAAGATGAGGGGTGGATGAAGGCAGAGCAGTTAGGCAGTGAGGCCCATTGGCATTCACAGCCGGTGCCAGGTTTGCTTCTCAAAAAGCTGGAAGAACAGTTGCTTCTTTGCTCATCAGCACACTTGCTTAACACCTGATGCCTCCCATTGAAGACATTTCCCTGGAGTTATCACTCACTGGCATGAGACGCTGCCTGCTCAGCACACCTTTTGGCCAGAGCCCTCCTTTAGGAAGAAGATTATAAGGATTTGAATCCTTCAGGGCAGGATTCCACTTCCTCAGTGACTCCTCAAAATAGAGATGGAATCTCTCATTTTAAAACGGCATTTATGATTCCTGCTCACTTTTTGGAAACAGAAGTTGTGTGCACCAGCCCTCAGAAGCAGATTTGGCTTCCAAACAGGAGCACCTGTGGAGGGCAGGGGTTCAGCCACATCCACTTCCCTCAGTAGATTTATCAAGGTTGGCATGAAATGGAG